TACATTTACACATGTGTATATACACAGACGCACACGTATATACAAGCATACAAACACTTGCACGCATGCATATAAGGTATGCATATTACATAGGCAAGATGCATTAATTTATGTTCGTTCATGTTTACATGTTCACATCTCTTTGACAGTTAATGTTGTATTGTGTAAATGTTGGTCTCTATCTTTCTTCTTCTCTCTTTTTCTTTCTGTTATTCTCTATGTCTTTATATACTCTGACTCTCTCTCTTTCTCTCTCTTTCTCTCTCTCTCTCTCTCTCTCTCTCTCTTTATTTCTCTCTCTTTCTTTCTCTCTCTCTCTCTCTCTCTCTTTCTTTCTTTCTCTCTCTTTCTTTTTTTTTACTCTCTTAATGCTCTTTCTTTCTCTCTTTCTTTCTCTGTGTGCATACGTGTGTGTGTGCGAGCGTGAGTGTGTGTATGTGTGTGTGTGTGTGTGTGTGTGTTTGTGTGTATATTCATTGAGAGAGAGAGAGAGAGAGAGAGAGAGAAAGAGAGTATTGGTTTGATTGATTGACTGATTGAGGTAGAGATAATAAGTTAATGGTTCTAGTGAAATGTAATTCTCCCATTTCATAGATAACCTTTTGTTGATGGCTTGCTTTTATGGAGCTCTTTTTATATTAAATGTTTGGTTTATTATCGCATCACATTGGTTATTATTATTTTTTTTTCACTTTTTTTTATTAATTCCTTTAATTCAAGTGAATAGACTATTGACATTATGTGGCTATATTGGACATACTGAGGAAAAAGCAACAACAACAACAACAATAATAATAATAATAATAATAATAGAGAGGATGTTGTTGATGACGATGATGATGAGGCTGATGATGATGATGATGATGACGACATCAACATCATCATCATCATCATCCACGTCATCATCGTCATCATCATCATCATGAACAGTCCCTAAGTACTCTATCCCAGACGACCAGCAACAGTTGCGAATCCAGCAAATCCTCCCTACATCCCCTTCCGGCCCTCAACGTCTCACCCAGTAGTCTGGGGGAGAAATATGGCGGAAAGTTCGGGGAGGGCGAACATTTTTTCACCAAACATGCCAGGCTGCAAGCTGAAGCTAGACTGGCTCTGGCTCAGGTGTTTAGTTGTTGGATTTATTGATTGATTGACTGATGGACTGATTGGTGGTTAGCTAGCTGGCTGGCTGGCTGGCTGGTTGGCTGGCTGGCTGGCTGGCTGACTGACTGACTGACTGACTGACTGACTGACTGACTGACTGACTGACTGACTGACTGACTGACTGACTGACTGACTGACTGACTGACTGACTGACTGACTGACTGACTGACTGACTGACTGACTGACTGACTGTGACTGACTGACTGACTGACTCGACGGATTAACAGATGATTAAATAAATAATTGAACGAAGAAATGAATAAATGATTAAATAAATGGATGAACGAACGAACGAACGAACGAATGAATGAACAAATTCAAAAATCCAGGTCCGACCACTTGCATTCATGCAGTTGCTTCTTGAGAAACAATCCAAGAGCGTGTCATCATCATCATCACCATCGTCATCAGGGTTTTCGTTGCAGGTAGGTGCTGGTGACGATGACGAGATGACGACGACGATGATGATGATTTGATAGCGATGATAATGATACTAATGATGACGATGATGATGATTTGATAGTGATGATAATGATGTTAATGATGACGATGATGATGGTGATGACACATTAATGATGATGATAATGATGGCCTTGTTAGTGTTGTCAGTGTATCCTCATCACGGTATCTCCACCTTGTATCACAGGCTCTCATACAATCATTTCTGGACCAGCCATCGTCAGCTTCTCAATCCTTCCATCATCATCATCATCATCCAACAACGACAACGTCAACAAAAACACTCAAAACAACGACAGCGACAAAATCGTCGTTGTCTGTGCCGTTTGCAGCCACGAAAGCTGCGACAACGACGTCATTTCAGCCAGCAAAGTCGACCTGTTTCAATTATGAAGAGGCCCTCGTGAAGTTGAATTCCACGCATTTGCAGATTATCATGAACTCCATGCTGGATAATATTAATGGTTGGTTGGTTGGTTGATTGGTTGGTTTGCCATTACAATTTATATTATTTATATATATTTTATTTATTTATTATTAAAAATATGTTTATTTTTATTTATATTTCTCAACTTGGGCTAATCTCTAGGCACATGCTTAGCTTTAGATTTATCCATTTTTCTCTGAAGTTTTCGCTTGAAAATGATTTAATTTCAATTTTTCCACCCATCCAACTAACCGACCAACCAACCAGCCATGAATGAAGAACTGATGGATCTGCTGCAGCTTCGAGATGAACACCTCATCGTCCAGGATTCACTTCTTGTTGATATAGAGGATTATACCAGGTATATTTTTGTATTGTTTGTATGTCGGTATTTGCGTGCCTAATTTTTTATGTTTTGTTTGTGTGGTAGTGTATGTTTCGTTTCTACGTTTTGCGTGTATATTTGTATGTGTGTTTTTACGTTTGTTTGTTTGTATGTTTGATTGTTTGTTTGTTTGTTTGTTTGCTTGCTTGTTTGCTTGTTTGTTTGTTTGCTTGTTTGTTTGTTTGTTAGTTCGTGACGGTGATGATGGTTTCGTTTTTGATGATGAGGATGAAAATATTTCCATAATCTTTGGTAGGATGGCTGAAGAGTATGAATACAAGAAGCTGATGGAGAAGAAAAACTGAGCACAACACAGATGACCATGACGGTGATGAGGATGATCATGATCATGGTGATAGTAATGATTATGATGATGAAGATGACAATGAAGTTAGTGGCTATATCAATGATGATGATGATGATGACGACTATGATTATTTAGAGTGAAGAATAATGATAGCTAGATTGTTGATGAATATTATGAAGATGATTAGTAATAATAATAATAATAATAATAATAATAATAATAATAATAATAATAATAATAATAATAATAATAATAATAATAATCATACAAACTATAATTATTTTTATTAATAAAGGGATAATAATAATTATTATTATGTGCCTTTTTGAAGCATTAATAATGGTGATCTGCATTAGAAAGCCCCTTATAAATATTGAATGTTCATATATACCTTCATTACAGTATGTACTGATAGCGTTTGCTTTTATGTGCCTATACCTATATATACATGTTTGTAGTTTATAAATATATGTGTGTGTTTGTGTATATGTGTTTGTGTGTTGTGTGTATGTGTGTTTGTGTGTGTGTGTGCGTGTGTGTGATTTTATGTATGTCTATTTTATCTGATGGTTTTATGGTATAAATTGTAATGTGGTTATTTTTTTGTGAAGGGATTTTGTTTTGAAGTTTATTTTTCAGTTTAAATCTTTTAAATAATTTTACACCGTTATGCTACAATTGTATTGTATTGTAATCATTCTTGTAGCTTATAAACATCTAATGTTTTAGATTTAGTTTGTGTATGATTTTTTTCTAACGACTCATTTCATCTATGTTATCTATGGTTGTTGTCTTTTTTGATTAATGATGAATCTTTATACATGTGTTTGCGTGCGCGTGTGTGTGCGTGTGTGTGTATATGTGTGTCTGTGTGTGTGTCTGTGTAAAGAGCTTATTTAGTTTGTTTCCTTTTTAGCTCTTCTATGCGTTTGATCATGTTTATTTGTGTGTTTGTTGTGTCTTTACTTACAACATTCAGTATATATATATATATATATATATATATATATATATATATATATATATAAATATTCTTTTTTATTCTATTTGCAAACGCATTGAAATTCTGAAACGTGTCTTCAACGCTTTAACGTAGTGTCCAAAATTAAATCCATTCATTTGTCTGTCTATGTTTCTGTATCTCTGTGTATTTGTCTATATTTAGGTATCTTTGTGTATTTGTATCTATTTCGACAGGGGTAGCCAGATACTTATCCTAGGGTCCCTTCAGTCTCTAGGGTATCCTAGGGACTGAAGCCTCCTCAGTGATGAATATTTTTTTGTGAGGGTTACGGTTTAACTTATCAAAATCTTCATGTAAGTTTTTATTTTGAAGTGGTGCAGTCTTTCAGATGACATCAAATTTGACAGTTGTTTTTTTACGTTTCTGTGTGTTTCTCTCCGTATGCTTATATCTTTTTTGTGGTTTAAAAGAAATTATGAAATTTAAATATTTAAAAAAAATTGTATAGCATAGAGTTTATATGCAGTTATCCACAATGTATTATTTGTTCATTCGTCCATTCATTTATTTGTTAATTTACTATTACAATGTATTATTTGTATTATAATTGTTTAATTAATTAATTAATTAATCAATTTATTGACCTATTTGTCTTCTTATTTATTTATTTTTTGTTTATTTGCTTGTTTATTTCTTTAGTAACTGTACTGTATGTAAAATCTTATTTCTTTATATTACATTATGTAGCTAGCTTTTCATAGATCTGTATTCATTTATCATGTTTTATATATTTTTATACATAAATTGTGTGTGTATTTGTGTGTGCGTGTGCGTGTGTGTGTGTGTGTGCGCGCGTGCGGGTTTACCTCTGTAATACACACTATCTGTTTTTTCATATTGTACATACGGTCAATCAATCAATTACATACAGTTCTGTGTTATATTTTTAAATTTTAATTGCAGATTTTAGTAGCTAGATTGTTTTTTGTTTTATTTTGTAATCAAATTAAAAACAATTGAATGCATGTTCACAAGTTTGTTTCTTTGACTAGTGAAAAACTGAAACAATAATATTTTAATTGAGTTAAATTAACATAAAAGTTAAACCTAAATAAACTTAATCAAACTTAGACAAACTTAATTAAACCTAAATTAACTTACTTAAGCTTAATCAATTTTAATTAAACCTAAATTAACTTAATTAAATCTATCTAAATAGAATTAAATCCCCCAAAAAAATCATTTTTTTGACTTCTTTAAATCTAGTGAAAATTGTTGTTGAAGTGTCCATCTAATTACTTATTACTTTAATTACTAATTTACTTGTGTGTATATATATATATTTACATAATTATCTAAAACTAATTAAATAAATCTCTCATTAGTTCATTCATTTGTTTTTTTTTTCTGTCTTTCAATATGTTCGTGTATTTTCTCATTTGTTTGTCCTTGTTTTCTCCCTATCTCTTCTACTTGACCAGTTTTCCTACGATTTCATACTTTTCTGTTGTGAATAGTATGAAAATTTTTAGCATCACTACTAATGGATAGGAAATAATTATAATCATTTATTATTTAATTATTACTAATATTATGAATTTCAATTATGATCATAATCGTAACCATCCAAGCAGCCAATGAACGACCGACCTTTGAAATTTTTCTCCCACGTGATCAAACTCTTTTTTTGATCCTCATTCAAATCCGTCAGTTCGTCGTAGGTCTCCGTGTGCACCTGCTCGTTCATTGGTCAATTTGCGAGGGAAATGGTTTAGACAGGTTATTGAAATATTAAAATTTACAGAAAAGCTCACTATTAATAATTTTTTCTTCAATCACGTTATCATTAATATCGCCATCTTTTTTTTATCTTAATTATATTAAGTTGTAATTATAATTTTCGTCATAATTCTCGTCACTGTCATCATCATCTTCGTCCTCGTCACCTCACCATAGCCATAGTAGCCATCGCTCTCGAGATATCTCTACCAGCAAATGATTCATACTGGCCACCTAAAAATTATTATCAATAATCTTTTTCCGATTTCATTTTTCATAAATTTTGAAGATAATTTCGAAATTTATGAGACTCCCTCCCCAACAATTTCAAAAGCAGATGTTTAACAAGATATCTAAAAATACGATCTTTTAATAATTAGCTCAGACCGTAGAAGGGCCTGGGCATATCTCGCGTTGTTATTGCGCGCTTACCGGGTTCAAATACTGTCTCCGCCAATTTGGAATAAACTTGAGATTACCTGGGAATATTGCTTTATTCTCAGGTAACCCTCAATGCAATGCCTCTGACAACTGTACATTCAACTCAAACGTGTGTTTACGTTGTGTGTGGTTGTGTGTGTTTGACGGACCAGCCAATGTAACACAAACGTTCATCCACATTTATGGGTGTTGAAAATGTAAAAGAAACAGAATTAAAAAAAAGACTATTAAATTTGAAAATAGAAAAAAAATTGATTCAAAATTTCAAATTCAACTAGGAAACCATAAAAAAGATAAAACCTGGTCCGTAGTTACTTTTCCCTTTCACGGTGACGTCAAAAACGTTGAAGTTCAAGGCCACGTAAATCTTTCCACCGTCCTTCCCGCTGTATTTCTTCAGCTCTTCAATGCTGAACTCTCTGGACATGATGCTTCTGGAGGATGATGATGTTGATGGGTTGGAAGTATGCATGCGTGTGTATAAAGAAAAAGTGTCAATATTTCTGGTGCTGATTGTTAAAATTATTGTGACAGATTAACATTCAAATAACAATGCTAATTACAATTATGTCACGACAATGTTAGCAGTTTATTTGTGATCAAATAGTTTGAAATAGAGCTACTAGTTATTTATCCATTAATAAATCTTCCTTTTATATACGTATGTTCAGCTTTGAAATAATGCATGAAAATATATAAATATGTCATTCAGTTAAAAAAATCCACACGATAAAACTAACTTTGGATAATTAATTTCAGTTTTATAATAAAAGACAAAATGCGTAATAACTTATGTTAGAGTTTGAAATATACTCAAGCTTACGTGTACCGCTCGTCTTTTATTTCACTTTTCTCTCCATTCTCTCTCTCTCTCTCTCTCTCTCTCTCTCTTTATTGCTCTCTCACTCTATTTCTCCTTTTTTCTTGATTTTTTCTCAACCCATCCATTTTTTTCATTTTATGTTATACTTCATTCATTTAACTTTCTCCAAATCTTTCTTTGTTTACTCTCTTTGACATGTGACTTCTCTCTCTCTCTCTCTCTCTCTCTCTCTCTCTCTCTCTCTCTCTCTCTCTCTCTCTCTCTATTTTCTCTTCACTCTCCATCTCTACTCATTTTTGAAATTTTAAAATTTCAAAAAACAAATTTCTAAAAAGATTGTCGAGCTGTTGTTTTCTTCATTACACACCTGCCCGACTGCTCAACTCTGGCACGAAACCGTTATTCAATTTGTTAAATTTTGTTTCTTTATTTAACACAAAAAAAAATAATTACCATTAACTATTTTCATTTTACATAACTTTGAAAATATACTCGTTGTTTATTGAGCTTCATTAATTTTGTCTGGATTTGATCAAATCTTAAAAATCTTTACTTTGTAACACTTGAAAGATAAATCTCAACTACGTCCGTGCCGTGTAAGTCTCACGTTTGAAAGCTTACTACACATTTTGGAGTCTATCAGATATTTGAAACGTATGCCAAACTACTTAACATTAATTTTACTCTTATAGAGAACCATTATATAAAAAAATAATTGATTAGGAATGGTGCCATACAATTTTTACAAACTGATAAAATTGGAAGTTTAAAAAGAACAAGAAGCATGCGGTCGTCAGGCAATTCAATATAACCTTGTAAAGTCGTTGATGATTTTTATGAAAAGCAAAAAACCTTCTCTGGTTTGTGTATTAAATTTGAAAGAAAGGCTTGAACATGAACGAAGAATACACGCAAGTAAGTAAGTAAGAAGGAGCTAGCTACTATCATCGGTATCATTTGGTGTGGTTGTGACACGACACACCACGCATACTACGCGCGCGCGCGCACACACACACACACACACAAACCACACACACACACGCACACACTCTCTCTTTCTCTCTGTCAAACACACACACATACACATGAAACGCATAAAACACGAACACGAGACATTTAATTAGGCATTTTCTCTACCGTCTTTGAAGTGCTGTCATGTCGTTTCATCGGAAGCATGTATTCACTTGATTAATTAATTATTTAATTAATTAGCGTTTCGGATGTCTGTACAAAATTATTTTTTATGATTTTCAGTTTTGCTTTTGTTTTTGATTGTAAGTTATATTTCCAATTTCAATTTGATGTTCATAAGATGCTTCATATTAATTTGAAAAATATAGTTTTTTTTCAAGTCAAAATTAGACTTAAAAATCTTACATTTATACACATTTTTGGTAGGTGAATTTTTATATAGATGTAAAAGATTCATTTTGACAAAAAATGAAACAAACGAAGCAAGATCAAATAAAATATTGATTAACAAGGCAACATAGGCAAGGTGTACAAATTATTTTAAAAGCAGGTACATATGCGCTGGCATCAGTATGTCTTTTGAGTTGCACGTGCTGCGCGTGCTGCGCGTATGTATGCATATGTGTATATATGTGTGTGTATACAAAAATATAAATGTATAATGTTGGATGTTTTATTTTTAATTTTATTCTTAAAAAACATCAGAATTTGACGGACGACAAACAACCTAACAGGCAAACCGTTACAACATCATATGTACCCACACGTAAACTCGTTCCAACCACGTCATGTTTGAATGGATGCAGTTTATATAAAAATTCAAAGGCGAATGCAAAAATAATAAAGTAAACTATTTATTTTTCTATAAATTGTAAATAAACTATGTTATTATAAAGTTTTATATTCTAAAATAGTTGTAATGTTACAAGTATTAATGCAAAAAACGAGTTAAAAGAGTCTTGGGCACAGGAACGTAGGGGTGACAAAATGGTTTGGAAAACATTTTATAGTCTAAAATGGTCTAAAAAGTTATCTACTCGAATTCAAAACTTTCTCCAGAAGAGTTATTTCGATGTCATGGACAACTTTTCAAATTTAATCTATCGAAGTAATTTCATAATGAAATAAGATTGTTTCTACAGATTGTTAAATTAGTTCAGAGCAGGACGACTGAGTCTAGTGGCCCGGGTCTCAACAGAGATAGAAGACTTCCGTGGGCTTCTACAAAAAAGGCCTTCCCTAAAAGGGCATCACACACCTAAATCCATCACAGCCGTGCCGATTAGGAAGATATAAGAATTGTATTTATTTAAGATGTTTTATTAAAACATGCAAAAATAAATGTTATTTTTGAAAGCGAGTTAATTAAATTTTACTTTGAGTGTTTGTTCTTTGAGAAATTACAACAGAGAAATTTCCTATGCTTGAAAGACAATCGTAATGGCTTTCACTCAATGGAACAGCTTTCATTCAATGGAATACGCAATTGCATTGTGGTGAATTTTCGCGAATGAATGAATGGATGAATGAATGAATATATAAATATATAGAAAGAATGAATGTGTGAAAAATTAATATGGTTTAAAACTAACGCTTTTTATTTTCATTTTAGAAAAACCTGATTAAATCGAACAAAATTCATGATTGATCAAACTAATTTGTATATTTAAATTTTTGTAAAATTCGAAAATTTTGAGTTTTTCAGTGCAAATGGCACGGACAACAATTCAAATTCATTCCAACCAATGTTTCTCAATCAACAAGTTAAAAATAACTAACAACCACGAAATTTGTAAAAAAAACATCAGATATTTATTGTGAAAGAAAACAAGAGAAAGAGCGAGGAAAGAAATATAAGGAAGAGAGCATGAGAAAGGTTTCAGTTGAAGGTAAGTGCTTTTGCAAATTGTAGTGTTTTTCATCAGTTAAGTTTTAAACTGCGGACTCTAGAGGTATTGTAAAAATCACTGTTAACAAAAACTATTCAAATTTCAATGGAACTCTGTATTTAAAGATAAAACATAAATATACAAATTATAACATATGATTCAGCCACTGTGAAAGATAATTTTACATAGTTTACTCTTGTGAAAATTTGGTCTGTCTCATTTTGGCCTTTCCTGTACTTGGCGCCCGGGAACATATGTACCCCCCCTAGCTACGCTTCTGCCGGACTGTCATTTTAGGAATAACTTTTTAATAACGTGATTTACTTAAATGGTAGTTTCTTGTTGTTCATATTGACGAATGGCCACCTGTAGTTTACAATATAGAATTGATCAAAAAAATAATTTTGATTCGTGGAAAATTTTTCAAAACAAAAATTTGAATAAATAATTTGAATATTTAAATTTCCTCAAACACCTGCCAAGCGTTTCACGTGGCTACATTTAATTTGATTTCACGAAAAATAATCCCCGACAAATAAACTCGCCTTCCTACGTAGTTTGAATACTGTTGAACTACCTTTGACAGTTTCGTTGTATGTGTTAGATTCATGGATATCCATGGTTAGATTTTTAAATTTTTGTATCTAGCTTAAGTCAGAAAACTATTTGTTCAAAACTAGAGGTGGAGCTGAGAGATTTCAATTTACATTACTAAAATCTTATTGTCTTGTATATATAAATTAATTTCAAATTGTTGAACTGAACAGTCTTAAAAATGTCCACACACTTTTAAAACTGTTTTTTTTCACACCAGCTTTAAATGCCAAGCTCACTTGGAACTTTTCGTTAATAAATTTTGACAAATTTCTATCAGATATTTTTTGCAGAAGGGCTGCCAACATGCTGGTCAGATGTTTGACGTTCCTGTGCATCTTGGCGCAGGTTCATTCCCTTATTCTTTGGCAGCCTTTGAGGTTTGTAATTGTTTGCCTTACCATTATGATACAATCAATTTTTATATTTTATGTAATTTATACAACAAAAAAGATTAATTCGAAAAAAAGCTAAAAATAAAAAAACCCAAATTATAGAAAATGTTCTCAAAAATCAGTTTTTTTAGAGACTATTAACGTTGGAAATTGTGAAAATTTATCGTTTATAAATAGCAACTGGTCAGTGGCAGATCTAAAGGGAGGAGCCAGGAGGACCATGGCTCTGCCCGTTGTGAGCAGTATTTTTATTAAAAATCAGTATAACTCAGTTTTTAGTGAAATTCTACTATAAATGATGCAATTGGCACAAAACGACACTTCAAATAATATTACGTAACACGTACCATAGATCGTGTTTTAATGTGAGGCTGATATAGTAAATTAAGCTGAATTAAGCCCACAATTTCTTGAGCATGAAAATAAATAATTTGGTAATGGAAATCTCGACGTTCTTGATACAAAGCATCTGGGATCGACCGAAGAATTATCGTTACGTATCTCGTGGGGTCTCATGGCCAAGTGGTTAGCGTGTCTGTCTACCACTCTCATGACCCGTGTTTAAATCCTGCAGTTTCTACAGGTTCATTCTGGTAGCCGACCCCGGTCAACCCAGCCGTTTGTCTTTTCGAGGTTGGCAATTGGGTAGACGACTTAAGTTGTTGCATGCTGGCCGGCGAGATGGCTCAGGGGTTCAAATGCTCGCTGAGTCAAACATCTCAATGGCTATCATATGCTCAGCGTATATGATGCGGTGCTTGTGTGAAAAAATTAAACAGCCTTTGTGGTGAAGATGGCTGCTTCAAATCAATATTTTAAGACATGAAGAACATAATAAAAGATATATAGTTGATATATCTGTAACATTGTAAGCGATTCTGCGTATGTCAGAGCTGCAAAAATAAAGACTAAAAAAAATAGAATTTACAATGAAATTTATAACATGCAACATTACGAAACACTTTAAATGTGATCTATTACAGTTTTTCAGGAAAAATAATTGTGGATGTTACCATGGAAACAAACCTTCCTTTTAAGCTATGTGGGGGTCCAGTGTGTATTGGAATTCTAAAAACCAACCCATCAATAATCGTTGCAAATGAATTCGATGAAAATGTTCATTATGCGTGGAAAGTTAATGAGAATGGCTACCTTGTATCCACTTTTGACGACAGAAATCTTGGTATTGATATCATACCTTCTGAGGATTGTTACCCGATTGTTAATCATAAATGTAAGCTGATTTGAAATTTAACAATACTCAGAAAATTCTTAGAATTCTTTAAAATTAAATTATATAATTTTATAAATCTCCGGTTTCCAGAGCAATTACTATCGATTTCATCAAATTAAACACAACACTTTTGATCAAACAATCAATGCAATGGAAACTGAAAATTTCTCAAACAGCAAATAATCTAACAGTTTCTAAAACTAATTCTTTATACCAGTGATTTCAAGGGGTCCGTTGCTGTTGCAGTGGATCATGAACGTCTTACGGCAAATGCTCATCGTTCAGACGAATTAATTAGCAGTTGGAGAAACAGAAACTTCATAGATCATTTTCATTGTTTTGACCCTGATCCTTCAAAGTATGTTGTTTGTTCTAAACCAGTGTTTTTCAGTTTTTTCGTGCCACGCTCCACAAACCTTTTGAAACTATTTATATTTCCTTAAAAAAATTTTTCAACATTTTTTCTTATTAGAATTAGTGTTTTTGAAAACTGCTTCAACTTTCACCCTATTAACCTTCATCTGTAAAGTTTCCTTGGCCTTTTGCAAATGAAAATTGTTTTGCGCTGAAAAACACTGTTCTAAATTGAAAATTTTAACCTTTGATTATTTGAAAACTAAAATGAACAAATTTTTACAATTCCTTTTTGCAAATTTTTTCAAAAGAATCCTTCAAATGAAACGTTTTCAATCTGTCTCAGCCAAAATAGTCTGTGTTTGACCAGTGGAGCGAAAATCGAATTCAAGCCTAAAACAGATAACTCAAACCAGAACTGGCTCATTAACGAATACGGTTTCTTGGTGTCGAGCGCCACTGGCTTGGGAGTAGATATAAATCAGCAGACTCGATATAGATGCGCAGTGGAGGATCATCATTACGATGAAAACAGACGTTAGTTTTAAGAGAAATTAAATTACATGAAAATTATCAGATAAAAAATATAAAATATTGATTAACAATGTAAATTAAATATAAAATGTAAATTAAAAATATATATATGTTTTTATATATACATATATATATATATATTTATATATATTTCAATATGATCCTTTTCAAAAAATAAGATTTAAATTTGTTAATGATCCATCAGCCTTTGGACAATTTCCAAGACACGTCAGTGATGTGTTCATTCCCAGCCCTAGATGCCCAATCTATCACGTCAAAGAACTTAATTCATTTGACCTATTGCAAAACAAGGGATATCATGGCCTTATTGTGAGCAGTGTTTTCAATAAAAATAAGTTAGAAACTGTTTTTAGTAGGAGTTTACCGTTTTAAGTTCAAAATAAACCAAAAAACGTCTTGCCAGCCTAATTTTGGTCACACTAGCAAATATTTATTAATTTTTTTGGTCCCCCGTAAACTTTGTCCACGTCAGCATTTGTATTTGACATTTGGTATCGGAGACGATTTTTAAACTAATCTTTTTTGTGAATAGTTGTTATTGTTTTTTGATCCAACAGCATTCATTTGGTTTTTGACGTGTTAATATTCAACCCAATTGCAATCATCAATGAAGAAATTTTTCCTAGACTAGGTCTGAGTTTAATAAAAAAGTCTATTAATGATTTATGGGAAATGAGGTTGTGGTTTTGTGTCGACTGACTAAATTTAAATTTTAGCATTGTGGACGTAGGAGATTAATCATCAATGAACAAATTGAAAAAGATCAGTCTTTTGATTGAACCGTCGAAGACGTTATGTCGAATGGGGAAACAAAAAGTTCTATATAAATGTGAAAAAATTATTCTTTTAATGAGAAAAAATTTTGTCGCTAGCAAGGAATAGCATTGCTAATCAAAATAATTTGAACAAGAACTTTTTGATATCTGATGGTATCAAAAAATTCCATACATTTTTGAAGTTACCAATGCATCGGACTATCATTATATAAAAACTTACCATTGTTATTAACAAATTTTGATAACAAGAAATATTTGCACTTCAGGAAATTAACAAGACTATATCGAGACATTGAGAAATCATTGTGATACTGTCGATAAATTAAGGAACTTCTGCATGTGCATTAATAGTAGTGTTGTAAAATTATCGAAAAATGATTCGATGCTGATGGTCGGAATAGGCAATGAAAATTTATTTCTCAATGTCCATGTCTGTTTGAATTAAAAATTTTGGTTCATCTATTCGAGAATGTTCTTTACTAATGTATATGCACATTAAGCTATGCTCCAAACGGTTCAGAATAGGGCTGCTAGAATCATTGTTGGTGTGTAATGGTTTGATCACATGAGCTCGGTACTTCGGGATTTGCATTGGCTGCCTGTCTATAAAATAATATGGTTTAAAATATGTGTTTTGATGTATGAAAGCTTGAATGGACTGGCGCCACAATATTTGTCTAACAGGTTTCTGTACAAATCCACTATTGGCCAGAGGATTGGTCTAAGATCAGATAGCTGTGATTTATTAGTGCAGCCGATGACAGCATTGAAATTAGGGTCAGGAAATTTTGTGGTTTCTGGAGTAAAGTTGTGGAATGATCTTTTGCTAACTTTGCGTGATTACAATTTGTCGTTTTCTCATTTCAAAAGGCAGTTGAAGACATTCATTTTTCAGCAAAAGGTTCGAAATACGTGGAGAACGCCTGTGAAAACCTTTTAATGGGCGCTATATAAATCATCTGATAATAATAAGCAAGGTGTTTAGATAACGTCTTGGAGTTTGATATCAAGCAGAGTAGAACCGTAAATATTATTGTTCTCTCTTATATATCAATAAACGCACGTGAATCAAAGCATCACACACTTTTTGCATGTTATAGACGAGAATGAAATATTAAACATTACAAACAAAATGTAACGTTTATTTTTTCTTTATTTTTCTATTTGCCATTATTTTACCACTATATTCAAGGTGTCAGGTATCAGATGGTATAATATAAATATGTACGTAAAAGTTTTTTTTACATAATTTTTGAAGTGAAAGACGAGTTGTTTAAAGAATCTGTAATCATCGAGCTCGTCTCAGCTCCTTTTGATCCGCAGAAGATAACCATGGAATGGAGAATGAACGGTGATCAAGCAGGTTCTATTGTGAATACCAGAATGCATTTGAATGTTCAATATCTTGAGCAGAAAAAGTGCGGAGACATAAGCTTTTTTAAAACTGTGGCAGTTTTCAAATGGTATGGAATGCCACTTCATCTTGACGTTTGTCACCCATCTATAGAATGTAATAGAAATATTTCCAAATTTGTAACGTACTATGCTAGGTATGATATTTATTTCAATGTAACATTTATAATCAAATATATACCTATCAAACAATTTCATTCACATTTTTTTAGATACCCTGTTTTTACGATCTGTAAAAAGAATTCGACGACTTGCTTGGCTGTGGCAAAGGGTTATTACGAAGATGTGATTGCACAAAATATAAGGGAAACTAATATTTCGTCTGACATGTTTTGGCAATATAGTTCAAGTGGATATATAAGGAACACTCGAAGCTTCTCTCTTGGCATTGACTTGGGTGTTGGCATGTGCGTGTCCTACGTGAAAAACAACGGTAAGAGATGTTTCTGTTACGTTGTTGATAGCATAACATAAGTAGGGCGTGAAGAGGTATTTGTATATATTGGATTATGATTTAATTCACAGTTCTTCGTGAAACAGTTCCAGCATATAAGCTCATAAACAGTAGAAAGTTTACAGAGTCTGGATCGTCTTTGTTGTGGAAAATAAATAATTTTGAAGATAAAATTCTTATAAACAAGGAAGCTGACTTGACAGTTGTTATAAACGATAATTCTTCTTTCCCCGTGCTGGCTGTTCACGGCATAGGCGTAGATGGTGCCAACATAACCAAAGTGGAAAGTATGCTGGACTCAAATGCATGCTACAAACAAATCATTAAATACGAAAAATATTATCTCAAGTAATAATATTTCAATGAATTTAAAGACAAAATTTTTTTCACACAAAATTAAATTTATATATATTTCATCAGCCTACCCCAATACTCATCAATTGATGTAGGTTTTAATGACAATGGGACGTATAAATGTTTGACATTGGAGGAAAATCGTTTTGAAGTTAAAACCAGGACCAATAATGAAAATCAGTTATTCACCATGAACAAACATACAATTTTGGTCTCAAAATTAAATGGAATTGGTATTGATATAACAAATGAGACTAACAGAGTTTGTACAAAGATCTTAGGAAATAATGAAAACAACACAGGTGATTTGTTCATTATTCGTTTGTACGACAAAAATCTATTTTTGTTACTGGCGGGTTGTTAATTTAATTGAACGCATGCTATTCACTTTTAATAACTGATCAATAATTTACAAGTTAAACAAGTTAAATCAATAACTTTTGATAACTGATCAATAATTTACAAGTTAAACAAGTTAAATCAATAATTTTGAATAAATTGATTACTGCCCTATAGACAATACAAGTTTTCTTTTCTTCCCGATTGCTCCTTCTCCATACGTACCTAGAAAGAAAGGGAATATGTGGGAGTATATTGGTTATAGAAATAATCAGCATCTGGTCAACGGACAATTGATGGTTCGTATACACTTTGTGAAGTTTCAGAACTGTCCGGGTTACATTAACGACGTGTGGTATGCGATGGCCAAGTATGGACGTAGACTGGATGGTGCAGGTAATCTGAAGGTTTACAAATGCGTTAATGAAGCGTTTTGTGAAGCAGATTATAGAATGTTTAATTTTTGTAAAACCTCACCGGATTTATACTAGGTTTCAAAATAAGTGTTTTTTGGAAATTATTTTATTTTAAAATAATTGAATATTTCCGTTTATAAAAAAAAAATATAAAAATTAAATGACTCCACATTGGTACTATACCAGTGTTTATTTTAAAACTACTTTAAAACTACAATTATAAAATAAAAATTTATTGCTTGCTGTTGAAGAATTTTGTTGGGCTCATGGTTTTATGAAAACATCAACTTATATACTATATGTTACTGAAATAACTTTTTTTTAAACTTTTGAACAAAATTTTCAAATAAATATAGTATTATATGTGACTGTTTAGTGTTTTCAAGTTTTGTAACAAAAAATTTTAAATCAAATTTCTTTCTTAATAAACATAAAATTACATACTGGAATTGTCCTGTTGTATATTTCTTTCCAGAATAATAATAATATTAATAACAAAGTTTAAAGTGGTTCAGTGGACTAGCATCTGTGTAAGAACCACTTCAAAATAAATGTCCTAGTATCCTAGCCCTCCTAGCTTGATTTTAAAATTGTTGATTGAATCCACCGAGTCAATTTCATCGCTCAGCTCGTTCCAGGCGTTTACCACCATGCTGCTGAAGAAATCTTTGCTTTGTTGGATTTTCTGTCTTCTTGAAGAGCTTGTATCTATGACCTCTTAATCCTTTCATTTTTACTAGTTGAAAGAACCTGGTGAACGGTGTTTCTTTTTTTCCAGTTATTAACTGATATGTCTGAATCATCTCTCTTCTGCATCTTTTCTTTTCTAGTGTTGTTAATCCGCATTCTTTCAGTCTCTTTCTACACTCTAGTTTTCAAACTCCTTCAATCATCTTTGTTGATCGGCGCTGTACCCGTTCAAGAATGTCTTTGTCCTTTTGCAGACCTGGACTCCAAACCGGTGAAAAGTACTCGAGATGATGGCAAACTCATGTTTCATGCAGGTTTATAATGATCGACTTCTTTCTGCTCAGCACCGTTTTTTTAATACACCCAGGTATTTGATTTGCATTGCAGGATGAAATTTTGTTTCCCTTTTATTTCGTTTCGTATCGTTTCGTTTCAAGTGTACATAGATGAATATACAAATTGTTGTTCATTTGAGTTTGCTCATCGTAAAAAATAAACAATCACATACTGTGCCGGTATCAGATATCCATTGTGATGATTGATTATGACTAAAAAAACACTTGTTTGATGGGTTTTATCTGACCTATCCAAAGGGACTTGACTTATTTTAGACAAGAAAGTGAAAAAATTTTTGTATCATTGGTTTTCCTAGAAGATTCTCTCTCGTTAGCAATAGGTGCATCTGCATCAACAAAACAAAAGCTTCTTGGGACTGTGGTGTAAGAGCGTGTGGCTTACTTGGAGCTACTTTGGTCATAGTTGATACTCAGGAGTTTTTGAATCGGCTGGCCCAGCGTATACAAACGTCCGTTACAATCGGTCAAGTAGTGTTTTATACTTACTTAAATTTCGTGTCTCCATTGTAAACGCTTGACTTTTTTAATTTACAAAATAAATGCGTTGAATCTGAAGCAAATATTTTAATCAATTCAATTGAAAATTTTGCAGGTAAATATTAGTTTAAAGATAAAAAGTTAGAAAAATTCATGAACGCCTAATTTAATTCCAGTTGTGAATAAGTTTGTACATTCCTTCTGTTCTTTAAATCAAAATTTTAATTTTTAAATTGTTAAATCAACTTATTTCACTTCACGGAAATAAAATCACGTTTGTTTTGTAAATGCAAATTAGAATTTCTCTAATTTGAATAAATGAACGCAATTGAATTAGTTTTTTTTATCAGAGTTTGCCAAGTCAATTCAAATATTTTTTTACTAAGAATATTATTTATTCAAATTATTGTTTAGCATATGTATTTGAATTGCAAATTTTTTCGACACGGGTAGATTTTTTTAGGATTTGTTTGTGGCCCATTTTTTTGTGTCATAATGTCTGGCTGACGCCCTTTTTTTGGCGAACAAGGCCTCACGAGCCGCATAAAATGGCTTTACGGGCGTGGTTTGGCCCTCCTGCTTTAGATATGCTTTTAATTTTATTAATTTATTCATATATTCCTAGCGCCAGTGGCAGATTTAGATAGCTCTGACGGAAGAGGCGGGCATTGTAAAAATGTTTAATAGTAACGGGGGGGGGGGGCCAAATTTGTTGATTATCGTCATATCGTCACATCTCGTCAACATTGTTCGTCTTCATATATTCTGTTGCATCAACTTGTCAGCAATTAATCGGTTGTCTATAAAAGATTTACATCTTTACTCTCTTTCAATACGAAATGGTTTGCCAGCCATTCTTCGTCAACAGCCAACCATCAAACTTTATAGGAAACGATTGAAGAATTTTTGTTTATCCAGGCCTACGGAAAGGTCAAATGTCATCATTAAAACAAGTATTTGTACCATTTTATCGTCCTTTTCAACATATTTTAAACAATTTCAAAATATTTTAAAATACATTTTCTGTCAAAACTTTCCTGACAAATTTGCAATGTAAAATGACCAAATGTCACGCGAATTCAAATGAGGTTGTTCAGGTATTAACATTATTTAAAATTTTGTTTAATCAAATATGAGAAGAGCAGATGTTGTTTGGAAGATGCAAATTGAGACTGAATCAAAAATAAATTGTTCGGTTAACAAATTTAATATTGTAAAGTTTTCCAAATTAATTCTTTCATAGGTATATATTAGGGTGGGTCACTTTTCTATGTAAGAAAATAAAAGTCGACCAATCATATTCTAATAGCATTTTTTTTATTTTAGTGCATCATAACAAATAGTTTTAGTGAAAAATCAAATAAAAAAAACGCACATCTTCAGCCCGTGCATGCGCGGCAAACTTTTCCAAAAAAGTCCTATTCGTTATAGTCATAAGCTATTTATTAAAAGCCCGACTAAATGCTATTCTAACAAGACAAATAATTTTGTAAGGGCTCAGTAATATTAAAAGCCAAAACCTTAACAAAATAAACATAAGTTATCAAATAAATTGTTTTATTTTATACAAAAAATCCTGCTTGCTGTCAAATTTTGGCATAATTTTTCTGGAAGCAAGTTTCGCATGAATGATAACATCCCTTGATTTTTTTTTTACGTGCTGACCTCGCAGTTTTTTTAACTATTTTATCACATCTTCCAACAGCAGGCCAATTTATAAAACAAATGTAACATTTAGCATCAAAATTCAGTTCAAGTTCAGTAACAAGTAAACAAGACCCTTTAAATTTCTTCTAGCTTTTCTTCATCTGTTAACACCACCAACAGCAAGTTTTTAGGATGAGCAAAATACGCGTTCCGCTAAATAAGAGAATCTACAACTGCTTTTAACGCATTTGGTAAATATCACGAGTTTTCAATTAATTTCCAAAGATGCCGTGATCCGACCTTACATGATGGGTGTCTCCTTTTTTGGAACCACATTTACTTTTACAACGTATTGAGCCAAATCGAATAAATTATTTGATGGTGCGGGTGTAGAAATGTAATGATGCAAAATCCGGTTAGCTTTAGTTAATCAATGAGCTTGTGAAATATTTACAGGTGACTATTTTGCCAAATCATCTGAGAATCTTCCAGTTATTATTGCTAATGTAATTTCATACAAATTTTTTTGGTTTTTCATCAGTTTTTAGTGTCGGTAATTGACATGGTATTGGCTAGAATTCGATTACAGCTTCCGTTTCACATTTATCCAGCAACATACCAATAGAACCATTGTATGAAGAGGGACCAGACGTTTTACCGCCGATGTGATTAAAAAAATACCTGAAAGGCAGTTCATTCAAATGAAGCATGCAAATAATCCATTTCAAGGGCCTTTAAATTTTTTTTCAGCAAATGGAATCCGGTTCTTCAATGATAGATACGTGTTCTTCAATAACTACATGCCTGTACCTTTTGATTCCGTTTGCGACTGTTTTCAGTGTTTTATCTTTTTGTTCATCAAAATATAAAGCAGGTAGATTCAGGTGCACTTCACTTGGCGTGTTTTCTTTCTCACTCTTCGCAGTCTCGATTCATCAAAAACGACATCCGACGAAAGTTTGTGAAAAACTGCTGAAGCAATTGCATCACCGGTTCTATCAGACTCTCCATAACGGTCACATGATTGCGACAGCAACGGTAAACTTTGGATGCACTTTTGTTGATGCATACTTCCGAGCGAAGTTTTTTAAAATTTTTAGTCAGATTGTGATCAATACCATCGATTCTCATGCTTTGTTCAACGTTAAATAAATATTTTAGAAAAAAAAACAATTAACGGAATTTTCAAAAAAATTATCTAGATTCATTTCTCGCCAAAACTAGTTTTTAAGATAAATGACATAATTTAAATACCAAACTCAGCACGCATTTGAACGAATTCTGAAAAACGACCAAGATACCATAGCAACAAAAGTTGATTTTTTTAATGTGACGGCACATTGTTTTTATATAAACGCTTTTTGAATGGCTGCATTTTCATTTTTCCATTTTTTCCACAAAACTTTATCGGCTTTGCGCGGCTCTTCTACTCAAAATAATTCAATAATATTTTAGATGGTTTATTATGACGTCTTATTACAACATAATTTAGCTATTAGAATTCATTTACTAAAAAAAAATTTTTTTGACCCACCCTAGTACATATGCACTACATTCGTATACATGAAACTTCTTGGAACAAAAAGCGTTTTTACATATTTGAACAATTTGCAATGTAAAATGACTAAAAGTCACACAAATTTAAATCAAGTTGTTCAGCTAATATCATTTAAATATTTGAATATTCAAATAGGAGCAGAGCATATGTAGATTGGAAAATGCAAATAGAGATTGAATCATAACTATATTACAACAACAAAAATCGCTCGCTTAACAAATTTGTTTTTGTTAAACTTTCCATATTAATTTTTTCTTAATATAAAATTAAATTTTCTTGAAACCCCTAGCGTTGGTATATATTTGAATAAGTTTAATCTAAGCCCAAATATTTGAAATAATTATCAATATTTTACTTTTTTAAATCCATAATGAATTTTTGTTTATTTTAAACCACAACACTTAGGAAGAAGATTCAGCGAAAGATATGGTTGAAATCCAAACTGTCTTCCAAGCATCGCTGCTTCTGGTTGGCCTCTTTGGTTGCACTGTCGAAAGTTAGTCATTTATATGTATACATCGAACAGAACGATCGGTGCAATGAAATTCGTTCAGATAAGAAACTGCATCTTGTGAACTTGTAGGTGCTTGCCCTGACCCGTTCACCCTCATTGGTGGAAGGTGTATCTACGTCAATGCAACAGAAGCGTCATGGGATGCAAGTGTCATCGCATGTGATGCTCATGGAGCTAACTTAGTTATCGCTGATAATCATGAATTATTTAATCAGCTGGCTGCTCATCTGGAAAATAACTATAAAGGTTGTCTTACATTTTTTCTATTAGTAAAATTCCCCAAAAAAGTTACTTCGCGCAATTGTTAAATTTGAAACCAATTTGCTGTTAGTTCAATTGTATAAATTATTCATATTCCTTTCTCAGTGGTATAAACATTTCAAAAATGTTCGTAAAAATTATTTCGTTGAACGAAAAAGATAAATTGATCTCGATTAATTTTTATGCAAATCTTCTTATTAAAGTATTTTTTCATAATTTATTTTTTATAATTATTTTATATTTTTTATGATATAATTATTTTATATTTAATTTTATAATAATTATAATTTATTTTTACAGCTCAAAAGAACTTCTGGACGGCTGGTAGGAAGAAAAACAACTCCCAAGTTTTCGAATGGAAAATATTCAGAACTGCTAAATTTTTAGATGAAATTCTTCAGTACAAAAGTTTGGCAGAAATGAATAATTGGCATAGCGGTGAACCAAACAATAATGGTGGCAATGAGGATTCTTTGGAGATCCATAATCATAAATCGGGAAATTTTCAATTCAATGATATTAGTGGCGCAACTCTCCGTCATTCAATTTGTCAGTTCGATGGTTGAACTTGTTGGACGTTAACTCCTAATTTGCAGAATTCTGTTTTGTTATAAACAAAAAATTTTAAAAATAAATGTGGTCAAGGTTTTCAAATTTTCTTTATTTATTTTTTGATTCAATAAAATATTTCATCATGTAAACATTTGCCTGATCTTTGCAAAGTATTTGGTTCACCAATTTTAACAAAAATGCAAGGATTTGTTTAATAAGGGCCTCCCTACTTTTAAATCCGGCCCTGACAACATCGCTGGAGACTACAAAATCCTCTGGAAACTACTTCATCAAAAAAAAAATTAATTTGCAGCGTAAATAGAAAACACAATTCTATAACAAAATGAATAACTGAATAAAATTTTTTTCAAATATTTTTTAAACTGTAGTATTTGCCACGTGAATTCAAATTTAATTCAAAATATAAAAATCAATAATTTAAATTAGGGATGAGCAGATGTTCAGTTGAAATGTTTCGACTGAAGCTGAAAAAACATTAATTTTTTGATATCTGACAGATTATATCGAATAAAATTATTTGAAAAATGTTTCAGCTATCCTCTTTTCAACTGAAATTAAAAAATCTGAGAATTTCATTCAATTCAGTATATTCCTAGCGCCAGTGGCAGATTTAGTCAACTCTGACCGAAGAGGCGGACATTGTAAAAGTGTTTAATATTGACGTGGGGGACGAAATTTGTTGATTTTCGTCATAAAACGGTAATTTTCTAGGTCCGTCACCAGTGCCTTGTACATTTGGACGCTTTACAATTCTTACATTTCAAAATTTTTCTTTTCCAGTGTTGTTAATCCGCATTTTTTCAGTCTATCCCTATATTCTAGTTTACAAACTCCTTCAATCATCTTTGTTGCTCTGCACTGTACCCTTTCAAAAAGGTCTTATTCCTTTTGCAGGCCTGGACTCAAAACTTGTGACCAGTACTCGAAATGAGGGCGAACTAATGTTTCATGCAAGTTTATAATGATCGACTTCTCCCCGCTCACCACCGTTCTTATAATACACCAAAGTATTTGATTTGTTTTGGCTGCTGGCACGAAAAATTATTATGTAGTATCAAAAGCGAGTTTTATCATAGTGGCCTTTTTTATTATGAAAAATACAAAATTTATTGAAAAATTAAGAAAAAATGTATTATCTACTAGTGAACGAAATAGCAAGTCACCATAGAACTAATTTTTTTTGGTTTCATAATTTTCCATTACACAACAAATATCCACGCGTCTTAACCATTTCAACTTCTCGTAGCAAAATTATTTTAATAACATTAAAAATTGAGAAAATGCTACCAGATTGTTAATAATCAATGTAAGCTGATTGGAAATTTAACAATACTCAGAAAATTTTTAGAATTTTTTAAAATTAAATTACATAATTTTATAAATCTCCGGTTTCCAGAGCAATTACTATCGATTTCATCAAATTAAACACAACACTTTTGATCAAACAATCAATGCAATGGAAACTGAAAATTTCTCAAACAGCAAATAATCTAACAGTTTCCAAAACTAATTCTTTATACCAGTGATTTCAAGGGGTCCGTTGCTGTTGCAGTGGATCATGAACGTCTTACGGCAAATGCTCATCGTTCAGACGAATTAATTAGCAGTTGGAGAAACAGAAACTTCATAGATCATTTTCATTGTTTTGATTCTGATCATTCAAAGTATGTTGTTTGTTCTAAACCAGTGTTTTTCAGTTTTTTCGTGCCACAAACCTTTTGAAACTATTTATATTTTCTTAAAAAAATTTTTCAACATTTTTTCTTATTAGAATTAGTGTTATTGAAAATTGCTTCAAATTTTACCCTATTAACCTTTACCTGTTAAGCTCTCTTGCCTTTTCGCAAATGAAATTATTTTGATGAAATTGAAAATTTTAACCTCTGATTATTTGTAAATTAATATGAACAAATTTTTACAATTCCTTTTTGCAAATTTTTACAAAAGACCTCCTCCTAATGAAACGTTTTCAATCTGTCTCAGCCAAAATTGTCTGTGTTTGACCAGTGGAGCGAAAATCGAATTCAAGCCTAAAACAGGTAACTCAAACCAGAAATTTTCATCAATCCAGATATACACAGATTTTAAATAATCATTCTTTGAGATTTTTCAAATTAATAAGTACCATGAGTGTATAATGACAGATTAAATAAAATTCTAATGAAAGAGTTTTGAAGATCCTAAAAGATGTGATTTGACTTGTTTCTTTCCAATTAATTAAACGATGAATAAATAATGGATAAATATTGTTCAATATCAAGAATAAGAGTCTGTTAAAATGTGAATAATATTTCTGTAATGAGAAAGATTTATAATTATTTATACGATATTTTACACAAGAACATTTCGATGTTGATGGGCTACGAAAAATTTAAAATATTGTTGTAACCCTTGACGTTCGTTACTACCAAAACCAACTTGTAACTTCAAAGATTATAACTTATAATTTCAAAGATATTTTCAATACCAATATTGTAGCTTCCAACGATCGTCAAGTGTTTGTTATTTCGTAGGCTCAAGATTTCCGATAGATGAACACAACTGCTGCAAGCGCAAAGTTCGTTGAATGTTTATCTGAATGACAACAGTAATAGAAACATCAAACTAATCCAAGTAACTACATAAATCACATTTACGACATCGCATAAAATCTCCTAAAAACCTGTCCAAAAACCTGCTTGGAAACCTTTATCTCCGCAGGATCTTTTATAAGCATCTTTTTACGATCTTTTACAATCCAAAGATTACAAATATAGCAAAGATAACAATAATTAAGATAACAAATAATAAAACGCAATTTGATCATTCCGGCGGTTATAGTTATATAAAACTGATATATCGATTTTGTGGATATGAAAAATATGAATTGTGTGTCGGTATTTAAAAATTGTATAAGTTTTTTTCTCTAAGGCCATATAAGGCATGGGACACTTGACATAGGTACTTACATAAATTTTAACGTAGATTCAAATTACTACATCTATTATACATACTCACTCACGTACACCATTGTCATAAACCAAATTTGACATTGAAAAATAATCACACTCCGAGAAATTAGCGAGACTGAATTGAGATTTAAACTGTCTTCAAATGGTAAAAACAGAACAGGTGATTTTATCTTTTTTACATTTTCAAGACAAAAAACTGTCACTGCTACAAACGAAGTGTTCATTTAATCGAATTGCAAGATAATAAAAAAAAATAAGTGGAACAAAATTTGTCAAAATAAATCTATAATCTTGAATGAATTCATTACATGCCCTGTAGATGACATAAGTTTTCTTTTCTTCCCAATTGCTCCTGCTCCATACGTTCCCCACAAGAAAGAGAACATCTGGAAACTCCATTATAAGGACGTTGACAGTTATAGTTTTACTGTGCAATTTGTGCAGTTACAAAACTGCTTTGGTTACCATAACAACGCGTGGTATGCAATGGCCAAGTTTGAAAGTAGTAATGAAGATGAATTTAAGGTTTGCAAGTGAGTTAGTGAGTGGTTTTGTGATGAAGAAATTATTGAATTCAATCTGCTAAAGAGTTATACGTCAAATAGATTTCGGAAAGATGTAGTTTGAGATAGTGTTATTTTCAAACAATTATAATATTTATGTTATAAAAAAAATGAACTAAGGAGATTACTTAACTCTTACCAGTGTTAGTGATGCTAGTTGTTGGTGGATTTTGACTTTAAAAATAAATTAAACTATAAATATTTCAACAACAAGAATTATATTTTGCCGTTAAAAGGTTCTGTGGGGCTCAAGGTATTGTAAAAACATTAACTTATATTTTATCCGCAGCTGAAATCACGCATCGTAATTTTCAAATCAAATAAAAATATAATGGTGTTGCAGATTTAAAATTTCTAACAATTAACTTTAAATTAAATTTATATCTATTTACATTATTTAGAGATAAGAAGCCATCAACGAACTATGTTATATATTAATTTCATGAACTGTGACAACCCTAACATTCAACCCTCAGCAGACCTAAGAGGTGCCAGGTCCAAGTCGCGAGCTGTAATTTTAATAAAAGTCAGCAGAACTTCAGTTTTTAGACAGGAAAGTTAAAATCATCAAGCAATCCAAAAGCAATCATCATTGAGAACTTCAGTTTTCTAGACAGAAAAACACCGTCTTAAGATAAAACTTTAATAAAATATAAAAAGAAAGTTAGATATAGCAATGATATGAAGTGTGAAATATATTTCTATTTATTTATTTATTCAAAACCAAAAAAACTACACATAAAAAAATAGCAATTGATGGTCTTCGAAGACCAAATAAGAAAAATAACTATCATATCATTATTAGAATACATTACGTCAGAATGTTGGATCAACTTGAACGAGCACATTACCAAACAAAAAGTGGATCAGATACATCGTAAACTGTCTAGCGGAGAGTAAGTTCTTCAACGATGAACAATAAAATTTGCGTGTCGAAGATTTTTATGAAATTTTCGCAAGACGTCAGGGCTTGAGTAAACAATAATGTAAATCATTTCAAAAATTGATCGAATTTTGGTTGCTTGACACTCAGTCGATGCTTTGAGTTATGAATAGTTGACATTATTTCGTAAAAATAAAAAACAATTTTTTATTTTTTCATTCAATGTAAAAGGACGTTAACCCCTAATTTGTTTTAAAATTTGTTTTAAACTTAATAGCGAATCATTCCAAATCATTGGCAGAGCAGTTTCTTCCTTGTTGTGGGACATCAGTTTAGGGGAGATAGATGCTAGAGATACGGATACAGAACATGGTCTAGGACCTAGACCATGTTCTGTATCAACCATGGATATAACCATGGATATAACCATACCATGGTATCAACTTTTGATTTTTTCGTAACACCTTTTCTAAATAATCTAGTCTACACTACAAATGCAACAGTGAGTTAAACTTGTGACTGTAATTAGTAGCCAATAAAGATATTTTAACTATCCAATAACGCTAATCCCCATAACTAGTCTTACGGCAGTGTTTAAAATACATCGAATCTTTTTCAATCGCACTATCTCCACACCGCTCATTAACAGTCATTATATTTGCATTGCGCTCTTTTTAAAGCATTGTTGAACCGCACATCCCTAATCTAAGCATGTGACGACTTACTATATATAGCTTCAACACATGAACAACAGCCCTTCTTCTTGCGACATTTTACGATCGAACTTCTCTTTGTCTAATTTCATTGCCGAACACGTTCTCATTTATTTTGTATTACGTTATAAACATTCCTACTTGTTGTTTCTTATATCTAAAGAAAAACGCAACAGCATACAAAAGTATTTTTGATAATTTTTTAAACATCACGAGTAATATTTCCGACTGATCAAAATTTTTGGAAGACCATTTTACGTCTTTGGTTCATAACCCTGATGAAATACTCGAATCATCGATAGATTTGAGTTTTAACCATTTAATTGTCTGGAAGGTGGGAGCTCCTTCAATTAAATATTTAGTTACCCTACCATTCACAAACTTATACAGCAATAATCTTCGTATAAAGCGAGTGTTAGTTCTTGGCTCAAAATTACCATCCGTTGTCTAATGTATTTTTGTATTCTTGTGACTTTTCTGCCCCTCCCATCATAACTTTCTAATGTTCAATTAAAAATAAATGCCATAAAAATACACCATAAATTTCTTGACCGGAGAATAATTTGAATGAAAAAGGAAAAAAAAACCACAAAAATTCATGCAAGAGTATTTTATTCATTCAAAATAAAATTTGAACGTCAATGTATACATATCAAGATATGTTGTTCATATTATGTATATGTAACTTCGTTGATGTTACAATGGATTTCTATCGCGACAAACTCGACACATTCTATTTTCAATTTTTGTTTTAGGAGAATTACGAAAACATTGAGGTCTTTGGTGTTGCGTCCATTCTAAACGATAGGTAATGTCATTCAACTCAAAAAAGCCTTGCTGAAATAAATAAAATATATTGTCATTATTGAAACTTTGAATGCAACTGTGTTAAGATGTTTTTGTTAACATGTTAATGTTGTCCCAGTATTCGTGCTTCTGAATTTCAAAATGATTTGATGTCATTTATTAGTATATTTTACCGTTGTTGTGATTAGATGTTATTAATAGCAATTGTAACGTTTTTACTATGTAATTATATGATATGTGGGAGTCCCTGCTATGTTCTTAAATTAATTATAATGCTACAAGATTTTTGTCTTTATTGAGGTGAAGTTTTTGATGATTCTACTTCAAGTTCATTTTGATGCTTTTACCCGGAAATAATATTCTTCATTAAAAATGCTAGTGAATTTTGTTAACAATGAAGCACGCTAAGGTTACTAAAATTGCAATTATTAGATGAATGCAACTCACGATAGGTGAAATAGTTAAACTTAAAATTTCCACGTTTTTATCTGACTACCTTTCTTTCGTTAACAAAGGGGTGGGTAAATAACGGCCCGCGAAGCTATTTTATGCGGCCCGCGAGGCTTTATTCGCTAAAAAAAGTCATTAGCCAGACCAGACATTATGACCAATAAAAGGAACCACAAACCTTGAAAATTGCATAATATTGATATTCTTTTTGTTTCATTAATGACAAGAAGTTTTTATTTTAATAGCATGTTTTTTAAATATATTAACGTTTACACTGTGATTGTTTTGATTCTTTGAAAACTACAATTAATCATGTTTCACTTGTATCTAAAATAAATTTTATTTAATGCAAAATTGTATAAAAAGAAATCATTACCCATATAATTTCATTTGTATATCTCACACCAGCTATCACCGTTCTCCTAAGAGGTTGATTATTGCGGTAAATGCAAAATGTCTAAAAAAAATATAAATTAAAAATTTAATTTATTAGATTGTAAAATATTATGGTAATTTTTTCAAAATTAATAATTTTTTTAACAAATAAACTTTAAACTCTTAATGAGAAGCTCCGATATTTTGACTCACAGACTTATTTTTCTTTTACAATAGCGTCAGCACGTAATAAAATATGTTATGAATTTTTTTACAATCCCAAAAACTTAATTTCTCATATGGTTAAAAATACATATTAAAATATTCAGCCAGGCTTTTTTTCAGTAAATTGTTTAATTCGTCACTGACACGAGTTTGTTGTAGTAAAAAAATATTTTCAAGAAAAATATAAAAAATACAAATAGATAAATATGAAGAAAAACCTCATTAAAAAACTTAAAAGGAACTATCAGTCCCAAATTTCGACCGTAAGGCATTCTCAATAATTGTCTGAATCTTTCTGGACACTCTAAGAAAAATGCAACAAATTGCGAAAAAATTAGATTAAAATTATTAAATTCAAATAATTCAAATTATTAAAATGCTAAAAACCTGGAGCTGCCTCAAAATGTTGAATGATATTCAACGTACAAATTATTATCAAACACTGATTCAGATACATTATAAACGGCCAACTACGTTTTAAGCAATCAAATACGTTATAGACAAACAAGTACGTTGTAATATAACGAACAACTCTTCTTGCTGTCGAGATTAAATAGTTAATTGCAGTTTATAGGATGTTCACATGGATCTTGAATAGGATGCAGATGTACATAAATCACATTTATTAATAAATATATAACACTTGCAAATCAGTTCAAGCTGGTATGAAAAATTGATCCAATATTGTTTAAAGGTTGATTAATGTCTTGCGACTAAAATATTGTAGATTAGAATGATTTTTAAAAAAATAGAAGTACTTGTTTGTATCTTTAAAAATTTGTATACTTCGTGCAATTACATGGAACGTGAATTTTTTCTATATTTCAATTTTTATTCCAAATTTTTTAACTTTTTCGGTCTGCAAATTATTTTTGCCACAGAATTGGTTTATATTTCAATTTGTTGAAAAATTTTTAAAATAACAAAATATTAAAACAAGTTTTGTAAAAATCGTGAGCAAATTTTTTTTAGTGTTTTTGCTAGTTTGCTAGCGTTAGCTGCTATCAAAACCTTCAAACTCCAGCTATCATCCCATCCTCCACATTTAAAATGGCCCGATCAAATGGTTTCTTCAGAAGTAAAGACGATGTTTTCGCCACGCTTAGTATACAAACTTCACGCCTTCGTTAGGCTGTCGGCTTGTTTGGGAATCTTGTAACTAAGTTGTAACCATTGTGCAGTCTTGACGCCAACCAACCAACCAAGTAAATTCGAAGAAAATAATAAAACTAGAGAAGATGACGAAAACGATGATTGTGACAGAAAACGATGATTATCAATGAAGAGTTGGTGTGTTCAATTGATTGCATTTCAACGCGAACTGTAATGATGTGGCTGAAGAAAATAATTTTCTACGTAGTATACTGTAATTCAAGCGGCGAGATGCTAAAATGGTTGAGGATGCTTGTCCTATTGTTGCACCTGCAAAACTTCAGCAGAACTTCAGTTTTCTAGACAGAAAAACACCGTCTTAAGATAAAACTCGATCAATAATTGATGCCACTAGCAGAAAACAAATTTAATAGGTTTTGTGGTCCTCTTGTCAAATATCAAAATTTAACATCTTTTAAAATTTATGACACCACAAATACATAGACATATATACACATATACATAATATATACTATATATTATAAATTTTCATTCTAAAGGTACAGTTCGCAATTAAATGTTTATATCTATGGCTGGCTTAATCGTCTGATGATGAAGTTTACTGTAAGTTTAACGTTAAAAAACGACATCAAAAAACATTAACAACTTCGGTAACACTATATAACATCAACTATAATAGCAACCTTGACGGCATATACAACGTTAATGACATTAGCAATCAACACTACACCAAATTACATCAACACCAATAACCTCAACAACAACATCAAACAACAACACCACCACCAACAACAACAATACTAACAACACCAAACAACATCAACAACAACATCAACAACAACATCAAACAACAACAACAATACTAACAACACCAAACAACATCAACAACAACATCAACAACACTAACATCAACAACAACATCAAACAACAACAACAATATTAACAACACCAAACAACAACATCAACAACATCAAACAACACCAAACAGCGCCAAACAACACCAAATAACACCAATAACATCAACAACTGAATCAAACAACGATGACGACCGTAAAAAGCATCTTACGTAGGTCAACATTACGACGACTCGTCAACGGAGTACTCATCTCAATATTTCTCATCATCATAATCTTGACAGCTATCAAATTTCTAAACAACAACAAAAGCTTTGACAACAACGACACATTCGACGCTGATAACACTAATGACAATAACAACAGTAGAGTCTCTGGTAACATTAATGACAACAACGACAATAAAAGCCCTGACGACATTAATGACAATAACAACAACAAAATCTTTGTTGAAAGAAACCTTAATGTCAACTATAACAACATAATTTCTGGTGACACTAATTACAACAACAGAATATTTACTAATAAAGACATCAGTGACAATAACCACGACGGAATATCTGGTAACATCAATAACAACAACGACAACAACAACATTAACAACAACAACAAAGCAGACCCTAGTTTTGACGACACTGATGGCAACAACAACAACAAAAAACGCGGCACGAATTTTGATAACAATAATGACAACAACAACTACAACTACAACAACAACTACAACAACTACAACAACAACAACAACTACAACAACAACAGAAATAAAAAAAATTGCCACCTACACTTCCCACCACGTGACTTTCATCATCATTATCATCGACAACGTCATCATGATAGTCGCGCTTTCGACTGGATATCCATCCCCACCGCTAAATTCAAAATCTATTTGTTTAGCGCGTACCTTTTAGCGGGCGACAGCAAAAAAAATGACGTCACAATATACGTCATCAGCAATACGACCGATTTGACGATTCCTTACTGTCTGTTATGGGATGAAAATGGACAGTTTCAATTGGTCCGCGCGTTCGTTGACTTGAACATGAATAGCTTCGATAGAATGTTAGTCATGATGATGACGATGATGATGGCTGTGATGATGATGATGATGATGTCTATGATGATGATGATGGCGGTGATGATGATGATGATGGCTGTGATGATGATGATGGCTGTGATAATGAGGATGATGATGATGGCTGTGATGTTGATGATGGCTGTGATGATGATGATGATGATGGCGGTGATGATGATGATGATGATGATGGCTGTGATGATGATGATGGCTGTGATGATGATGATGGCCGTGATAATGAGGATGATGGCTGTGATGATGATGATGGCTGTGATGATGATGATGGCTGTGATGATGATGATGATGGCTGTGATGATGATGATGATGATGATGGCTGTGATGATGATGATGGCTGTGATGATGATGATGGCTGTGATGATGATGATGATGGCTGTGATGATGATGATGATGATGATGGCTGTGATGATGATGATGATGGCTGTGATAATGATGATGATGGCTGTGATAATGATGATGATGATTGTGATTATGATGATGATGAGGAGAAAAAGGATAATGATGATGAAGATGTTCTTTTTTGTTAATGATAACATATGTGATGGTCAAGATGATTGTTAAGATGATAACGATGAAATGATAGATACGTTAAGATACTACACCATGATAGTAGCGATGATAGTGGTGATGATATATGATTATGATGTTAACAATAATGACGACTTATAAAATGATGGTGATGAGGATATGTAATGATGACAAAGATGACGAGGAATTAAGTTAGAACGCTTAAGGTGAGTAAGATAAACAGCAAAGATGATGATGAGGAAGGCGATGAAGGTGGTGAAGATGATTGTGACTAACCTAACATTGCCTCAACTGTGTTAAACATCCCAAAACACACGAAATCAATTTTTGAAACTGCATGCAGCAGGATCGATTGTACGCATTTCAAATTTTTTTTTTAATTCAAATTTTTATCTCTAAGTGCCGTAGAAATGTTATGCTTTCTGATCTAGCACTATTACACTAACCACTAAAACTAATTACTCTGAGCAAGTCATGCATACGCTACCATTAAAATAATGAAAAAAATATGCAAACTCGATATCTCACAAAACTCCCAAGGTATATGGTAAATAAAATGTGCATGATAAAATATAATAGAATTTAACAAAATAAAATATATAGAATTGAACAATACACCCATACTTAGCGGTGTTTTAATACTATTTCTATTGTCGCAAATGATAATGCACATCAGTCGCTCCCTTGCTACACACACACACACAATCACACACACACACAATCACACACACACACAATCACACACACACACAATCACACACACACACAATCACACACACACAATCACACACACACACAATCACACACACACAATCACACACAATCACACACAATCACACACACAATCACACATACACAATCACACATACACAATCACACACACACAATCACACACACAATCACACATACACAATCACCCACACACAGTCACACACACACAATCACACACACACAATCACACACACACAATCACACACACACACATTCACACACACACAATCACACACACAATCACACACACACACACAATCACACACACACAATCACATACACGGAAACCTACAAACGCATACAAACACACTCACACACACACACACCAATACAATTCAATACACCTGCGACTACTTCTCTAATTATCTTGAAATATTTATTATGAGATAAACTTTATCAGAGCCATTATTATTATCTTGTAGTCGTTAGCACATGCAAGCAGGCATACACATACACGACTTTTGATGTATTTATATAATAGGCTTGGCCGAAAAGTTTTTGTGGGGTGGGGAGTATAGGTTTTGTTTTAAAGAAGTTTACAGTTTGTTACCGTTGCCCAGTGCTGGCATAAATTTAAATCGAAATTTTGTAGTTCTTATGTGGGATTTAACCTTAACTGTAAAAAACATTTTTGTTATTAAGGTGATTTTTAGAAAGGATTTCTTCTAGAAAGACTTCTTTGACTATATTTCTGATTCATTTATCTACACATACAACATCATAGACACATACACACACATACATGTACACACCACACGCGCACACACACACACACACACACATACACACACACGCACACACGGTAATCTTCTTTTATACGCTGTTATTTTCGAACAAAAATTCTGGACTTCAACTGAACTCGCGGGCCGAATAAATTCTTCTAACTTGATTATTACGTGGCAGCAATCCGAAACATCAAGCTTTGAAAGTGATGTCGCAGTGAGGTGGTTCGAATGCTGAAAGATCCTTTTATATGTAATGTCTGCTGTGCGTTGGTTTACGTGCATTTACAAATATATTTTTTATAGATAAAAAATCGAAATTATTAAATTACAAGCGAGTATGTGAAACACTTTATTGATATTGTAGTCAATATTATTCGTTGGTTTGAGCTGCTTAAAAAGTTTTTTTTTAATTAAGTGTTTCTGATAAAATTTAATTGGCTCATTTTCAGCTTCATGGAACATAGGATCATCTGTACATCAGACAAAACAAATCGATCGAAAGAACCGAAGTACATTAGCTTAGTTGAATATGCGTGCCAGCAACCGAATCATGTCATAGAAGTCATCAGCCTTGGTAACCAAGCCCCTAAACTGAAACAACAGAACCAGCAACAACATCGCTGGCAAAAATCTCCAAGAGTTAATTTTAGTAATTGTGTTTCCCCGTTGAACAAGCACTACGACAAATGGGAACGTTTAATTGAGTGGATCGAACTCAACCGAATGTTCGGTGTCGAGTATTTTTTCTTCTACAACTTCTCAATCGGCTCAAAAGTTGAAAAAGTACTGGAGTACTACGTGAAGCAAAACTTGGCCACCATCATCCAGTGGAAGCTGCCCATTGAAGTGAACGAGAGGACGGACGCCTCCGACATTCACTACTACGGCCAACTGACCGCCATGAACGACTGCATCACGAGAAGTCGCCTCACTTCCCACTTTGTCTTGAATATCGATATCGATGAGTTTATTGTACCGATTAGGCGTCAAACATTCTATCAATTATTCACCGATATTTTCATCAATGAAAACTTAAACATCTCTCAAGTCCCACCAACGATAGTAAGCGTAAGAAATACGTTCTTCAGGCACGATTCATGCAATAACAAAAGCAGCAACCTGGCTCATTCAATATATTTCAACTTATTCACGTATTGCTCAATAATGAGAGAAAATTTAATTTTGGAGCACGGAATTCGTTCAAAGTGGATGGTGAGCTCGGGGGTGACAGATTTAATGGGAGTGCACACACCTCAAAAGGAAAACCAAGATAGCAAATTTGTAGCACTTGAACCGGATGTTGCCCTACTCTTCCACTACCACGCATACAAGGAGTGGATCCATCCGAATGTAGCAGAGCGCAGAATGTGGACCTTCTCCCACGAGTTGTCAGGCAGGCTTCAGGAAGTGAAAAGATTTCTCAATGTGTGATTTGATTTTAAAGTTAATTCTTTTTTTGTCCTTTGTTCTTATGCTAAGTGTCTTTCTGGTCTTTACAAAATTCTAGTCTATCCGGTCCAAATTATTATTTAAAAAAATGTAATATATGCGATATTTTTTTTCAAATTTCAAATTTTTTAAGTTCAAGTCAATATATCTTTTGCGTTTTTATTTAAAAAAATTGTAACATATTGGGTTAATATAATATGTGTTCAAATCTCATTAAAATTACCAAACGGAAGCTTATTCAATTACCTTAACTACAGATACCTTAATTTTTGACGAGTATTACATGTAGGTACTTCAGATTTAAGACATCTTCCACCACAGACTCCTTACGTGGCGAGCTAACGACAACTACTGAGTAGTACGTGAACCAAGGTACGCCGTGTACGAGTTACGTTGAATGAAAGGGCGATGAACGACCTCTTGGAATTCGAAACCAGTCACGGCAACATCAGTGCCAGGCATCTTAACTATTACACCACTGAATCGCTTATCTTTATACACTATATAAAAAAAAAACAGAGTGTTTCAGTAAAAATTACAATAAAATATAATCAAGAATTATATTTATTTGCCTGTAAACATGTGATACAAACGATCATAATAAATATAGAAATTCTTAAAAACACAACACATCAGATAGTTTAGAGTCAGTTCGTTGCAAGAATCAAACAAGTAGTCATCATATTCGATTGAAATGATAAACTCCAATGCTAAATGCTGACTGCAATATCATTAGTGATGATGAACGAGATGACAGTGGGTGATAATCAGCGGTGACGAAAAACTAATGATGGCCTCAAAGCGATGAACTCAGATATGAAATGAAAGTGATAAAATCATTCGTAAGAATGGAGGATTTACAATAGTCCTTTGATGGTGCAAACGCAGCTCAAAAATTGTTATCCAAGAAAAAACCAAATGAAATTTATTATCTGTGAAATGAAAATGACATGAAAATACAACAGACCGATAAGGAAAATAATTTCACGCGATATTTTTTAATAGCAAGAAATACTCAAAAATTAAACGATAGTTCGAACATAAAAATGACACAGGTAATGCGTCTACGGTTTTTTTGAAACATTCACACATACACACACACACACACACACACAGACGCACACACACACACATACACACAGACACACACAGACACGAACGCACATACAAAAAATGTATACAACAAACATGCATAGATAAACACTAAATAGATAAACATTAGAATAAGATTTAATCCCATGACGTCATAATGATTTCAAATGCAAGATAAATAAATGAACGAACGAACGAATGAATGAATGAACGAACGAATGAACGAACGAACGAACGAATGAATAAATAACTAAATAACGTTACTTTGAGTAACTTAATAATACATTTTCTAGAATAAATAAAAAAATTAAAAAAAATATTATCTTATTTATGCTATAACGACAATTAATAATTATAATAATAATAATAATAATAATAATAATAATAATAATAGGAATCATTATTATAATTGAGTTATGATAACTATTAAAAATTTCTGAATTAAAATTGTAACACAGTAACCAAAGAGTACATAAATCTGCGTACCGAAATATTAATACTGCTTAGAACATGTGTCCGTGTAATAAGAACACACGCACTTAAACTTGCTGCCAATCTCCTAATATTCAAATTGATGAACTCTAACTCTTCTGATGAATTTAACGATCCTCAAAGCAAAGATTATCAAAACTCTTACCTACTACTACTACCTACAACTTCAACTATCTAAAGCCACTACTACATAAAAAAGTACTACCTAAATCCACTGCTAACTACAGCCACTACTAACTACAGCCACCACTAACTACAGCCACTACTAACTACAGCCACTACTAACTACAACCACCACTAACTACAACCACTGCTAACTACAGCTACTACTAACTAAAGCCACTACTAACTACAGTCACCACTAACTACAGCCACTACTAACTACAGCTACTGCCGCTACATTATCACATTTACTGGACAGTGCAGTCGAGATTACCATCGTCCCTGCAGGGCAACATGAGGCAGTGGACAATGGATCGGCAGAGGTAGGACATCGAACCGAACCTGCCACTGGGGGCACAGTCGTAAAATTGTTGGCACACCCCTTCGTTGCCCTGGCACTTTAGAAAGGTCTTCGGATTGGCGCAGCACATTGCGAGGTAGCTATCCACATCTCGCTGTCGTGCGGTATGTGTGTGTGTATGAATGTGTGTGTGTGTGTGAGTGTGTGTGTGAATGTGTGTGTGAGTGTGTGTATGAGAGTGTATGTGTAATTGCGAGTGAGTGTGGTGTACGTATGTGTGTGTGTGTGAAAGTGTGTGTATGTATGTAAGTGCGAGTGCGTGCGAATGTGTCTGTGTGTGTGTGGTGTGTGTAATTGTGGTGTGTGTAAGTGTATGAGTGTAAGTGTATGTGTGTGAAAGTATGTGTGCGTGTGTATGAGTCTACGAGCAAATGTTTGAATATAAATGTGAAATTACTACGATGAGTTAATTTTAACGAATATATAAATTAACAAAAGAGACGAAAGAGAGAAACTAGAAAAAAAATAAGCAAATGGTTGGCGAGTAAGATGACGAGACAGATGTGTGGAATGTAGAGAGAATATTTGCCCTACAGACCTGCTCGTCAATAAACAACTCCACGGCATAGTGCACCAGGCGGTCAATGTTGATCACTTGGTTCCAGAAACATTTGCCTGGAAATATAGAAATAAAGTTTCTTTTTACAAAAAAAAATATAAAATATACAAAATTATTACAAATAAGTCCACGATAATATGGACCAAAACCAAAACAGAACAACAGAACAACAACAAAACCAGCTTGAACACGCACTCAATTCAGCGACAACACGAATCACGACATCAGCAACCAGCCACAACAGCACCTACAAAGATTACAAAACACCATGACCCCAAAATGACCCTGACCTGACCTCCGACAAAAATGACCCAGCCACGCCACCAACCGACCTGCATCATGTTCGACGATGAGGCAGAGCATGACTATGGTCTCGACGCACAACTGCCTGTACTCCGGATGTGGGATTCGATTCAAGATAGACTCCACCTCCAGTGCAAACTTCATCTCGCCCTGGGTCATCTGGATGGATGGTTGGTGAGAGAAAGAGAGAGAGAGAGATATAGAGACAAAAATGAAAGAAGAAATTTAAGAGAGAGAGTGATTAGGACAGACAGTAAAAGAAGGAAGCGAAAAAAAAAGGAGAGAGAACGAAAATTTAAAAAAAAAATAAGCATGGTAGAGAGAGAAAAAGAAAGAGAGAGAAAGAGAGAGAGAGAGAAAATGGAAAATTTTAAAAATATTAACAAAAAATGATTACACGAATAGAAGAAATGAATGTAAGCAACTTACCAACTCAACCAAAAAAGTATAGAATAACGATTAAACAAACCGACAACATTAAAGATAAGAAACAGAGAAGAAAACAAAGAGAAGCAAAGAAAAGCTTAACAAAAAGAACAAAAACCCGACTATGAATGAGTGATTTTAAATTTAAATCAGCATAAATAAATAAAGAAGTCAACGCACCTCACTGGTCAGAGATTGGTTGATGACGTGGTTCGAAAATGAAACTCCATGACACTGAATATGATATGATAAATCGTCATGGTTGACATTTGATTGACACGTTATGTAGTTATGTGATTGATGTTTCTTGCTTGATAATATATGAACACAACAATTTGATAAGTTACAAATGCCTGATTGACATGTTCTGAATGTATGGTTGATAATTTATTGATATGTAATTTGTCATCGTGTTTCTTCAAAAAAGTCACAGCAAACAACTCCGCTATCTGAGAAACATTATTCTGAATGTGTAGATCAGACTTAAAAATATTCTTGAAATGTCAAATTTCAGGTTTGCCCGCTAAATAATAGAAGTGTGACTGAAGTGAAGCAATCTCTTTATTCAAAGCCATCCTCGTTATCTTTTTCCTTCTCATCATCTTCTTTCTCATCATCATCTTCTTCCTCATCATCATCGTCTTCTTCATCATCATCTTCTTCATCATCTTATTCCTCATCATCGTCTTCCTCATCATCCTCATCATCATCTTCTTCCTCCTCATCATCATCCTCTTCATCATCATCTTTCTCATCATCATCTTCTTCCTCATCATCACCATCCCCAAAATCCACATTATCCACTCACCCTCTTGAGAAGTTTCCAGACATCAGCATAGAATCCAACAGGCACCCTGTTCAAGGCACCGTCCAACCTCCTCCTTCTCAGCCACTGCCCGTGTCGATCGATCTCCAGTTCCTCTTCCTGCTGCTCTCCGTCAGCTTTTCCGGCTGCTACTGAACCCCAGAGTGTGGCGGTTGATTCTTCATGGGTCTGCGTGTGTGCGTGGGTGGTGTGTTGCGTGTGTGTGTTTTGATGTATTCTATGTATGTGGTGCGGGTGCCTTGTGTGTGGGTGGGTTGTGGTGTGTGCGCGCGTGGGTGTGTGGTAAATGCGTGATAAGAGTCGCTGTGATTGTGATGATGACGACGGCTAAAATGATGATGAAGATGGCGAGAAAGAATGAATTTCTAGAGGAATATTATAAACTTCCAATGACCCCCAGTTATAATTATACCATATAGTTATAATTATATCATAATTATATTATAATTAGTTATAATTATATCATAATAATGACTAGTTATGACCATCAAACTCAATCAGCCCCATGTTATCAATCAAAATAGGACTTTAAAATTAATGAAACAAAAGCAGGCGGAACATCAGGGTTATTAAATGGATGGATGAATGAATGTATGTGTATGTATGAATGAATGTATGTATGTGTGTATGTATGAATGAATGTATGTATGTATGTGTGTATGTATGAATGAATGAATGTATGTATGTGTGTATGTATGAATGAATGAACGAACGAACGAACGAACGAATGAACGAACGAATAGATGAATATATAAATAAACGAATAAATAAATACACGATAAATAACCAAATAAATATATTAATAATTGCAAATTAAAATAAAAAGCCGATGATTGAAAATTCAATTATAGAATACACATACAAGCTTATGTAGGTTATATAAGGCAAAATCAAAAAAACTTTGACGAACCCAGGATTTGCATTAAATTAATTCAGAAAAAACAATCTCAACAAAGGTTATTATTAGCATACGATATGGCATAAAATAGCAAGGAAATATTGAAAATGAATAAACAAGAGGTAAAAAATGAGGCTTAGGCAGAAGAAATATTTAAAAAAATTGAAATATAAAGGAATGATTTAAAATTGTAAGACTTATGGAAAGACGTGAAAAGTTATTAAAGCACTGCTGAAGAATGAATACTTATAGAAGAAGCAGTACTAGAAAAAGAAGAAAAACTAATAATACACAACAATATAAATAACCTAACATACATACATACATACATAGCAATACAAATAACAATCTTCAAATTGGATGATGAATGACATTTTCAGTCAAATGAAAAAGTATTGAAATTGTTTGAGGGACTGTCCGTAGAGGACCACAGCTCTTTGACTTGCCCTATCAGCCCTGCTACAAACTGCCACAAAATCAGCCCACCCATGTCACGATTTTTTGACACCTTACATTCAAAAAATAGTGATAAGTGATGATGGAGATAAATATTTATATTGTTATGTATGTATATGTGTTATGTTATTTAAAGAAATTTATTCGCCAACAGTTTAAAATGTGGCATGTAAAATTATCAATATCACGAATAAAAATGATTGACAGGTGAAGATCAGCTACACTTAGTGTCGTCGACTTGAAACAAACACACGAGCCGCATTAACTTCATGATGATCAGGACGAAAAAGGGCAAGAAGCCAAGTACTGAACTGATATAACATTTCGTCTGCATTTTTTTTTGGCAAAAAGTTTATAAAAAACAACATTTTTTTTAAAAATTCATGTCGGAAAGTGAAAAAGAGCGAAACGTGACGTTGCATATCACCACCCTCACAATTTTTGATCACCCCCCCTTCCCAAAGTGTGACACCTTCCACGGGCAGCCCTTTACGTGAGAAATTTTTTTTTTTAACTTATCGGTATAGAAATCAAGCCAAAATTGAAAACAAGATAGCACCAAGAAAGATTAAGAATCAAACTGAACCACCATCGAATTCATAAAAGACTTTTTCACACAACATTTCTCAATTTATAAAACTGTTGGTTGAACGGAAATTGGCCGCGAGATCACACTTATTGTTCACACAGTTTCTATAGAATTATCACGCGTTACACTGGCGAAACAATGCGTCTTACTGTAGAAAAACTTCTGAAAAATAAGCCTAAGCCCACGATCCCATGCTAATAAAACGAGGAAAAAAAAATTTTATAAAAAAAATGAAGATATTCACACAACCCGCAAAACAACGAATGAATAAAGAGTGAATAATAAAACTAAAAAAAGCTGATTAGAGACACAAAACAAAATGTGAAAGAATAATATTATAACTATGAAATTTAATATCCGAGTGAAAATGAAATACAAAAAAATTATTTAAAGAAAAAAACACGAAATGGGAGAGAGATGCAATCTTACTGCTTGCTTCTGATTGGACAATCAAACGAATGGTATTTTGTGATTAATTTTTTCATTAATCCGAAAGAATAAAAGCAATTAAACAATGAATCAGTCATTAATTTAATTAATAACTTAATTAGTCAATTAATCAATCAATTAACATAAATTATTGACTATGAAGCTTATGAACTTAATTAAAAGACGTCATCGTCATCGCATTTTCATCCCCATAACCATCATCACCGTCATCACCATCATCATCACCACCATCATTATCATCACCAACATCATCACCAACATTGCCATCATCATCACCATCACCACCATCATCATCATCAATATGGTCTCCACCATCATCATCATCAAAATCATCATAAACATCATCATCATCATCATCATCAACATGGTCTCCATCATTATCATCATCATCATCAACATGGTCTCCATCATCATCATCATCAACATCATCATCATCATCATCAACATGGTCTCCATCATCATCATCATCATCACCGCCACAGACTAACCCTCAACTCCTTCCTCATCAGGTCGATACTGTACCTCGTCTGGCTGGCGAACTGCGCCTTGGACATCCTCTCCGGCTGGTAGATGGACAGACGTCTGGTCGACAGGCTGCTCTGGCTGCCGCTGTCCGTTGATGAGGCAGCTGCAACGAGTTTCGTTTGCACGTTTGAATGTGTGACACGTGTGTGTGACGTGTAAGTGTTGTGTACGTGTGTGTGTGTGTGTGTATGTGTGTGTTTTTGTTTATGTGTGTGTGTGTGTTTATGTGCATGTGTGTTGTGTACGTGTGTGTGTGTGTGTGTTTATGTGCGTTTATGTGTGAGTGTGTGTGTTTATGTGTGTGTGTGTTTATGTGTGTGTGTTGTGTGTGCGTGCGAGAGAGCTAATAAAAATCAACCAACCAACCAACCAACCAGCCAGCCAACCAACCAATAAACAAGCCGACCAACCAACCAACCAGCCAGCCAACCAACCAATCAACCAGCCAACCAATCAACCAACCAACCAATCAACCAACCAGCCAATCACTCTGTTAACCAACTTTTATTAACAGCAAACTCCTTTCCACTGAGGATGTGGTGCAGGAAAAGTTTCATCTCGTACGGGGTCAGGTTCAACAGCTGCGTGGATGCTTCCTCACCTGGAGGTCAGAGGTCAGGATTGATTGGGCGAGTTTAGTTAGTGGAATTAGTATTAATTAACAACCGACTAGCCTGCCAACCAACCAACCATTCAACCAACCAACCAACCATTCAACCAACCAACCAACCAACCATTCAACCAACCAACCAACCAACCATTCAACCAACCAACCAACCAGAGCAGTTGAGAGTCCTAGCAAGTTCAGAGGCCATGACCTGGATGATGAGCCCGACACGGATCCTCAACATCTCCTTGAACAACTTCGGCTCCGTTCTTATGTACATCGCTAAATAGACCAGCAACTCCTGCGAAGAGAATTATTGTATTGACGTTGCGATTGTTTGACAAATCGCAAGGTCAATCAATTAATTAATTAATTTATTCATTCATTCATTCAATCAATCAGCCAATTCATTCAATCATTTGATGTTGCGATTTTTTGACGAATTGCAAGGTTAATCATAACGAATTGCAAGGTCAATTCATTCATTCATTCCTTCGTTCGTTCATTCCTTCGTTCGTTCGTTCGTTCTTTCGTTTGTTCCTTCATTCATTCATTCATTCATTCATTCATTCATTCATTCATTCATTCATTCATTCATTCATTCATTCATTCATTCATTCATTCCTTCAATCAGTCAGCCATTCATTCACTCACTCACTCACTCACTCGGTCAGCCAACCGACCTGTGTTAGCATGGCGGTACTAAGATCATCTTGGCACGCTTCATGGATGATGGCTGCCAGTTCATCTGTCCTCATCGGTCTAGTGCATGAATGAATGAATGAATGAATGAATGAAATAATGAATGAAATAATGAATGAATGAATGAAGGAATGAATGAACGAATGAAATAATGAATGAATAAGCGAACGAATGAATAAATGAATGAATAAATGAATGAATGAATGAATGAATGAATGAATGAATGACTCACTGAATGAATGAAGAAACGAACAGAATAGATAAAGAAATGAAAGAGATGCGTGGTTTGTTATGGATCTGAAGAGGTAAATGAAGAGAAGATAGAGAACCAAGTATTGATCGAATAAAAATAATGTCTATATCATCATCGTCGTCATCATCACCATCATCATCATCATCATTACCACCATCATCATCACCACCATCATCTCATCACCACCTAGTAATGATCTTTTCTCTAGGCTCTGGTGGCAAACCGACGGCCAGCTGTTTTTGTCTCACAATGATATCTGATGCTGCGTTTGCTAGGTCTTCTACCTGTGTGTGTGTGTGTGTTTGTGTGTGTGCGTGTTTGCCAGCCTGTGTGTGTGTGTCTGTGTGTATGTGAGTGCGTGTTTGCTTGTGTGTGTGTGTGTGTGTGGTGTGTATGTTTGCTTTTGTGTTTGTACGTACGTGCGTGTGTTTGTTAACTCACCACCACAATCATCATCATCATCACAATCATCACCACCACCACAATCATCACCAACCCCACCACAATCATCATCATCACCACCACAATCACCACCACAATCATCATCACAATCATCATCATCACAACCTTCTTCATGAGGAGACCAGCGGTGTGTCTGACGAGCCACCACTGCTTGGCCCTTCCTGCCTTTTCGTACAACTCAGTAAGTAGGTCACTGACCAGGCACTCGTGACCTGGTTTTCCCAGGCCCGTGTTCCACGACGCACCTCTGGTCATGATGATGATGATGATGGTGGTGGTGGTGGTGATGATGATGGTTATAAAGGTGATGATGATAGTGATGGAGGTGACGGTGATGATGATAGTGATGGAGGTGACGGTGATGATGATGGTGACGGTGATGATAGAGATGAAGGTGATGATGATGATAGTGATAGTGGTGATGATGATGGTGATAATAGTGATGATGGTGGTGATGATGATGAAGGTGAGTGTAATTATGATGATGATAGTGATTATCTTGGCTAACAAAATTAATGATAATGACGAAAAAATGAAATTCAGTAACAATGATCTTCATGATACTAAATAATCGGGCCAGCATTTGCATATATACATGCGCAAACAGATACGTGTGTGTGTGCGTGTGTGTGCGTGCGCGCGTGTCTCCGAACTTTGCAAGTGATGGAGAAGTAGTCAGAAAAAAAAGGCGCGTGAAAAAGCTAACGCAAATCTAGCGTGTGTGTGTCTGTGTGTGTGTCTGTCTGCGTGTCTGCGTGTGTGTCTGTCTGCGTGTCTGTGTGCGTGTCTGTCTGTGTGTCTGTGTGCGTGTCTTTCTGCGTGTCTGTGTGTGTATTTCTGCGTGTTTGTGTGTGTGTCTGTCTGCGTGTCTGTGTGTGTCTGTCTGCGTGTCTGTGTGTGTGTCTGTGTGTGTGTCTGTCTGCGTGTCTGTGTGTGTGTCTGTCTGCGTGTCTGTGTGTGTCTTTCTGCGTGTCTGTGTGTGTGTCTGTCCACGTGTCTGTGTGCGTGCGTGTGACTGACTTGTTAAGATATAGGTAGTGTATAATATCAGCCTGCTCGTGCAAAGATTCGGCCTCCATTAGTTGCTGGACGAGATCCACACAGTCTATGCCTGGCGGGTCAGTTATTATTATTATCATTATTGTTATTATTACTATTTTTATTATTATTATTTTTATTATTACAATTTTAAAACTAATTAACTCTGGTCGTACCCTCTCGATTCGAATGATGGGCTCCGCAGATTATTTTATTTTAACCGTACTGCCTTTTTCATTGATTTTATTGCTGAATATTATTATTATTATTTATATTATTATTATTATTTAAATTATTATTATTATATTAGATTAAATAGGATTTTATAATTATCTCATTATTAATATTCGGTATTTAGAGTTAGAAAATAAAAGGATGTTCCCATTATTATTACTATTATTTATATTATTATTATTATTATCATTATTATTACCATTTTTATGATTAATATCGTTCTTACTAATGCCAGTAGCAATCTTCTAGCATCAAAATGATCATCGCCATCACAATTTTCATCATCGTCATCATCATCGTCATCATCATCGTCTTCGTCAACATCATCATCAACAACATCCTCACTACCGTCTTCAGCATCCTAATCATCATCAACATCATCGTCATTGTACCTTCGTATCTGGCGTTTGTTTCGGTGGACATGATCAACCTCTCACTCTGTGCCGTCACTGAAATAAAAGTGAGTAGAACAAACATACAAACAAACAAATAAACAAACAAACCAACTAACCAACTAATTATTAAATTAATAATTAATAAATGAAAAAAAAATTAAATTAATTAGTGATTAAATTAATTAATAAACTAATTAAATGTGAATAAATATCCTAAAGATGATAGCTGATTCACCGACAGCTGGTTTTTGTTTCTATTTAATTGTTGAGCGACATGCGCTCAACAATTAAATGGAAACAACCAGTCCTTCAAGCAATGAATGAGTGTACCAACCACTGAACGAAAAACACAACAACTGTCAAGCCGTACACACACACACACACACACACACACACACACACACACACACACACACACAGACACACACACACACAGACACACACACACAAGCAGACAAACTTACAAAGATCACCCTTAAGTCTGTGGGTTGTCACAGGCGTTTGAGCGAAGGGCCCTTCAAATGAAAAGGCACCAACACTTGGGCTGGTAAGGCCTGCACCTGGTGAAGTTGAACCGGGGGCTGTCGAGGTTGAATCTGTTGATTCGTTGTTGGTTGTGGTGTCTGCGTGTTTTTATTAGTAGATCGTAATTTTTCAGTTTATTTTTTTTTATTGTGATTAAGTTGTCAGCACACTTATGTTGAATGTTTATTGGCATATACTTTGTAGCGTTCAATTTTCTAACTTTTTTTAAATTAGAAAAAATTTTCAAATTTTCTAACAATTTTCTAAGAACACACGTTCCAAGTGCAAACAACACGCGCGCACACACTCACGCACACACACACGGCGTAAAAAATGTCCCATGCGTAGAGGCAGATGAACAAACACGAGTTCATTA